CCCCCCCCCTCAGTGTTAACTCCACACAGGGACAGAGTTCACAAGCTGTTCCTCTGAGAAAAAGAACCACAGTGGCAAGAACAAGTGAGTGAACCCTTGGAATAACCTGTGTTCTAAAATATGGTTTTAAATGTAACTCATAGCACACAAATGCTTATTTTGTTCTTGTCCATATTGAATAAATAATTCAAACATTTACAAAGTAGGCTGGAAAAAGTGAAAACCTCTTGACTTTAACAAAAGCTAATTCAGTCAGGAGTTCGTACCTCATTTTAATCAGTGAAACAAGATTAGAAGTGTTGTTCAAGCTATTTCGACTTATAATAATCACTTTTTAAAAACATTAAACATGTTTACTTTGCTAACCACAAGAAGCATCTGCTGATGTGAACCCTGCCCCACAAAAAGATCTCAGAAGACCTACGATCCAGCAGCAAACTGAACATAGAAGAAAATAGCAACTAGCTGGTGAAGAAAGAAGCATGTAGTGGGGAAGAGTCATAAATGTGATTTAGGATTTGGTTGAGACCAAACTAGAAAGAGAGTGTGTATGGTCATAAACATTCCTCATGAATGTTCTCTTTCCAATTGTTTGCTAACACAATAGCCATAACAACTCCATTATGGGATATATCAATGACGTTAACTGCTTCTTCTGCTGCTTGAATCAAACAATGCAGTTCTAATGAACTTATTCGCAGCCTGTCTTCATCGTGTCCTGATCTTCTAATAGTCTGCATTCTGAGCTCAGCTTATTGGGGAGCACTTAGGGAGTAGTCTGGGTTTGACATGGATAGGAGTGAATCTAGCCAAAGTTTAACAACCCAAGAGGAAGCAAGTACATCACCACAAAATCCATCATTCTTGTTTAGTTTACAAGAGCATTCAGATTCAAAGTACTTAGTAAGTGCAGAGGAAGGACAGTTACATATGGCCAGCCATATGAATACATGCTTTGTGCTGTCTCATAAGAGCAGCCTCTGTGAGATACACCAATATACACATTTCCCCAACAACAGAAGCATTCAAATACAAATAAAAGAAATAAAGAAATAAAAACAGAACATGACATTTAAGACAACCATGCATTTCCCAATTCCTTTTAGTGGTTTCTAACAATCCTCCTCAGAGAGTACACCAGTGCAAAAATAGTATATTAAGTACATATATAGAGTGATCAAGTTTTAAACAATATAATAAAAGAATAAAAGCGAATGTTCCAGTTCCAGCCTTTCATGGCTCTGATGCTGCGTTCAGGAGGTGCTCATCAACGCATCAAGCAGGAGAAACATCTGGAAGCTGCTTTCACTGCATCCTGGCCTTTAAAAGCTCACGAATAAATAAACTTCTTATTCCTCTACGTAACAATTAGAAAGGTTTGGCCTAAGTCATTCTCGATTCTTACTCATCGTTGATTGCACTTATTGTAAGTTGCTTTAGGTAAAAGAATCTGCGTAAATAAAATGCAAAAACAAATAACAGGATAGAATCATATCTGACTTGTGTGGTCATTTGAGGTGAATCCATCACCTGGACCGCAGAACAGTCATTTTTATAAGTTAACGAGGCCCTCCTGAACTCAGCATCATTTCAGTGTTGCACTATAGTTCCCAGGATGCAGGGGTTTTCAGGGTATTGTTCAAGTAACTCTTGCACGTAGCCCTGGTCAAAGTGTCACTGGGTGTGTTTCAGACTGGTCCCTTGATCAGTGAAACATCACCAACACATCTCTAGCAAAAGTGTAAAAGAAATTAATTGTGCAACTGTAGTTGTAACAATGCTAACTGTAGAACTTTAAATCATTTAAAGTTTTTTTTGCGTTTGCATGTATCACGTGTCTTTTCATTGGATAGTTCAGCTAAAGCTAATAATATTAGCCATGGGGAGGACGGATATAAAAGTTCAGACCCCTCCCTGTTTTCATTTAAGAAATGAGTGTATCTGTTTTGTTTGCCATCATCATTAACAATAACAGCCACGAAAGCTAAATCCCTTTATAGTCCTTTTTTCTGGCAGACATTATTACATGTGAACACACTACTAATACAAATGAACGATGGCTCTGTTCTATTCAAGGCCTGACAGTGTTCCAAATCCCAGACTAACCTAATCATGAAACCAGTATGATGTCCAAGTTGTTTGTGGATTTTTGCCTGGATGTGTCATTAATCTTGAATTTTATATTAGACGCCAGCTAAAAATGCCCCAAAAATGCATTGCAGCTCATCAGACTGCCCAATGACTGTGAGGGAGAAATGTGAGCCATTAGATAAAAAATGATCAGTGATGGTCGGGGGAGTTAAGGAAGAGTTAAGAGGAGATGTCCAGGAGCTCACATGTGTACTGTGCTGTAGAAAACATATTTAGCTTTAACTTCAATTTCCTTAAAGAAATATTGGAAAATATTCAATTGAGCTCATTGTTTTTTAAATCATTCTGCAGGGACTGTGCAAAATGAGTGATCAATGAACCTGCTAAGCCAGTGACAGGTTTGACACACACCCAATGTAGAGGACATTATTGTATTACTGAAAATCCTCAAATAGAATGCAGTGCTTATATTACTGCTATATTTACTACAGATAAAACATGAGCAGTGTATTTCACTGCTCTGATTTACTCGTATGTCTCATTGAATAAGTTCTGTTTGATTCTAGCTCATCTGCTGCCAACGTTTGCTGCTGCAACAAAACTCAACCTGGACGTTCCATGATAGAAGCTTGGCAATAAAGAGGAGGAAGGTTTCCTCTGCACGGCTGCCAGTGTTTTAAAGTCAAACAGATACATAGAGGACACGTTCATTCTGCATTAACAGCAAACAACTAGAACCGTAAATCAACATGACAACAGGGAGCAAATCTGAATATTTTAAAATCTACTTATAACATAATTTAATATGGTAAAAAATACCTTTTTTCCTTCATTTGAGAAAATACAGTAATCATGTCTCGCACCCCTCCCACACTGAAAAAACGGAAACGTTGACTTAATTCAATGTATGATGTCAACACATTTCACATAACTGTATTAGGTTAATCGAAAGCAATAATATTATGTTTAAATAGGTTCAACTTAATACATTTAGATAAAGTCAACGTTTCAGTGTACCTCCTGATTAATTAATAAACGTTCCTCATTTATATTGTCGACTTATTTCAAGTCGTGTGCACTGAAGTACAGTATGAAACCTTGCACATACAGTCACAGACAATCTGATGTCACACAATCATTCCCAGCTGATGAGCTGGAGAGGTGATATCTCTCAGTGAGTCTCGATGACCACCGGCTCAAAGATACCAGGTGTTCCTCTGGGAAAACACAGAAACATGCTCGGTCAGATAAAAGAGAGTAGATTGTTAAAAGATACAGTAGATAAAAACTGCATACCTGTTGGAGAGCTGTGTCCCGCTGAGGGCGGTGGTTCCATCTTTACTGACAAACAGTCTCAAGTTGCTGTCTGAAGGAAAACAAGGAATCCAGGAGAGACGTTTAAATGATGATACACACATGCTGAACTACATCCCATAAACTCTGTCCTACCTTCATTGTTGCTGCTGTCAGAAAAGTTCTGGCTCTGGACGATCTTCTCCACGATGTCGCCTGCATCGATGCGGGTGTCGTCCACACAGCTGGGCTGCCTCTCCACCGGGTCCTTCTTCCTCCTGACGACAGGAAAATAACATTAATGTCTGAAGTACACTCAAAGTCAGGAAGCATTAACGTCCTCCTTTTTGCCACAATTGATCATTTTAGAGGGGGGGTTGAGTGATCTTTTTCTAAGCAAATCCCATGAGCAGACCCAAAATAAACACTGAATTTATCGACTGACAGGCACTGTGTGTTTCAGAGCTGGTAGAGCTCCTCTGTAGCTATACCATTTCAAATTCACCCACTACCCAAGTACGCTGCAAAAACTAAACCGTTGACTTTAATTAAAAGTATTAAGTCAACACATTTCACATTAAGTTAGTTGAAAGCAATAATATTAAGTTGAACCTGTTTAAACCTAATATTACAGCTTTCCACTAACCTAATACAGTTACAGTATGTGACATTTGTTGACATAAAAAAAAGTGTTCACAGAGTACGACATGGTAGTGTTTATAGTGAATTAAGACACAGACTACATTACACTTTAAAAATGTACTTTTAATAGCTATATTCTCAGTAACATGATAATCAGAAAGAAAACAGATCGCTGAAATAGTTATAAAACCCCACTTTGCATAGATATCAATGCTGTTAGCATTGGGGCCAACGTTTTAACATGATATTGTTTCAGGAGCTTCATGAAGACATGTAGCGTTAGCTACCATTTCAGCTGTCTCCTCACCTACTGATCTCCTTAGCCTTTAAAACAAAGCTGCTGAACTAAACTTCTTAGAGCATGTTTCATTACAGGGTTTTCTCTATGTTGTGTTTGTTGTCACTGTGGGCTTGTGGTTGAAAATGAATAAATGAATGTGAACAGAGAGCGTGACCTTGCACAATGATGTTGCCCCTTCTCTATAATTTAGTGTTAGCATGCCAACATTTGCTGTTAAGCCCTAAAGAAAACTGCAGCTTATGAGAGTTGTTTTAGTTCTGAAATGATTTAGTGCCACCCTCTGTGGTTCTGGATGAAATCAGATGATTTGTCCTCTGGAGAACACAGATGTCTGGAACACAATGGTCTAAACCAAACCAAACAACATTTCATTCAGCAGAATGCCTCGCTAGTTGATGAAATGCATTTTGTAATTTTAGGAGGAATGTTTTGTAAGATTAATGGACTTTATAACTGATCAAATGCTACGAAAAGGAAATGTGTGTTCAAATAAAGTGTGTAAGTATTTACTGTCAGGTATAGGTAGTGTCATTTTATTATTATAGTTGCTCTTTGACAACAGCACATGAGGAGTGAGGGTATGAGGCTTGTTTTTGTGCTGGTTGGCATTCAGTGTGAGCAACACACACTCCACACAATCCTCCTCTCACATCATGAGTGCCTAAAGAATTTCTGGCTTGCAGGTTTCCACATGCCTGAGATTCAGACTTCTGTCAGAGTGATGCTGTCCAGACACGCCTCGGTGTTGTGTCACAGGTGTGTATCTACCTGGAGGATCTGTTGGACATGAGGGCTGCTGCAGAGGGGGGGGG